GTTATAATCTTTAAATAGATAAGAGTATATTCCCCACCCTCCCCATTGCTTGCTTGCTTTTTCTTTTTTTTTTCAGAGAAAGTAGAAGGGAGAGAGGGGGAGATAGCAAGACGGAAGCGAGGGACACATCGATGTGAGAGTGACATAAATCGATAAGAATTTTGAATGCTGATGTGAGATTTAGATTTGGTCAAAACAGAGCTCATACTTAAGGAAGAAAGACAGGATGGATTTGTACTATGTGTCATGGTCGACAGAGGTTTGGGGGAGGAGGTGGGCCTGTGTTCTAGCCCAAGTTCCGCAGATGTGACTGAACGGGCCCGCAAGCCGGCGCATCTTTCCGCCCTCTGTGAATTTAATGGGACTTTTACAACCTCTCATCTGTTGTTGTGAAGGTTGTTATGAAGATTGACTCAGTGAGGATATTGGGCTCAGAAGGAAAAGGTCATAAAAATAGATGATATTTTCTTATTCCTCTACTATTTCTGTCTAATGCATTTTAATGCAATATGCCTGAAAGCCAAACTAAGGAGATTTAGAAAGACCCTCAGTTCCTCATGTTCTGACCCAACTATAAAATTATTTTCATTGCTACTTCATAACTATAATTTTGCTACTGTTATGAATCGTTATGTAAAAATCTGATATGCAGGATGGTCTTAGGCATCCCCTTTGAAAGAGTCGTTCGACCGCCAAAGGGGTCGCGACCCACAGATTGAGAACCGATGCTGTATACCTTTTAGCTTTTTGGGTAGAATTGAGGTGGGAGGGATCAAAGGTTGTGGGAGAGAGAAGAGGTAGTCTCCTAATGTGTTAGTGAAAAGAATGTAGCATTACCCTTCTAAGCAAAAGGAAGTTATTATTAAGTAGTGTTTTTTTGTTATTTTTTTTTAAAAAGGGAAATTTAGAGAGGAGAGTACCTGAAGCTTTTATAGATATTTTCAAATTGTGTGTCATGTTGCTATTAATAGGTTTTACAGACTTATATTTATGTTGTTATTTTAATAAAGTGTTCCATTTTTATAGAAAAAGCATACTTCAGTGCATTATGTGCTAAATATTCTGGCCTCATCAGTTATCTATCTCCGGGAAAGTTACATGGCCTTTCAGGCTCTGTCTTTTTCCCCTGATGGCTGATAAATAAATGGAAGAAAACAAAAATGGTCTCTTCTGGCTTTGTGGACCTAACCCTTCTGAAGCGATGGCTGATATCACTCTTCCCTCTCTTTCTGCTAGAGGCTGATACTTATCTTACCCGGTTCAGTGTCCCTCAGACATACAATTACTCTGTTCTTCTTGTGGATCCTGATTCCCATACACTTTATGTCGGCGCCCGGGACACCATCTTTGCTTTATCTCTGCCCTTCTCAGGGGAGAGACCTCGAAGGGTGAGAGATGAGAGTGGGGAATACCACAGAGCATGTGACTAGATCTATGGTTTTATGGGAGGTCAGGAAGGGGTGTTGTGGTAGGAGGTGAAATGTTAGTGAAAATGAATAGGGGAGGCCATCAAGTACATTATCCCAGCTGAGAGTGTTTGGGGGGTCATGGTGATGGAGGAGGGTATGAGGCAGGTTCATGATGAGCGGAGGAGGCCACAGGTACCATATTTTAGGTGATAGTGGGCAGAGAAATAATTTGAATCACATTAATCTAGGACAATAGCTTTCAAACTTTTTTGATCAGCCCCTTCATAAGAAATATATGGTATATTTTGACTCTGTACACAAAGTGTGTACTTGAACCAATATCTACTTTCCTATATGAGATACCTTCAGATATATTTTGTTAAAAGTAATGTTGGCTATGATTTCACAATTGATTTTATTACTCTTTAATAGCTGGGGACCTCCAGTTTTAAAAATAGTGCTCTGGGGGTGAGGGATGTCTCTGCAGTTCCCAAATTGATGGAGGTTGTGGAACTGTGTTATCTACCCTGATTCGGGAGGACTTCGGGGAGAATCAGGGGGAAATGGTCATTCCTCCTTTCTCAGATTGACTGGATGGTGCCTGAGGCCCACAGACAAAACTGTAAGAAGAAAGGCAAGAAGGAGGTAGGTGTAAATCTGGGCCCTGTCCTGAGTGTCAATTGAAATGTTGGCCCAGCCCTGACTCTGTCAGTCCCCTGCAGTGCTGCCATCCCAATGGGCCCAGGCAGGAACTCTAACACCATATCATTACCCATCATTACTGACCCCAGAGCTGCATCTAACTGGCCTGACACTACCTTACCTTTCCTTGTACCTGCTGCTTCTGATTCTCTCTAACCATCTCTGACCCCCAGGACGAATGTCACAATTTTGTCCAGATTCTCGCCATTGGCAGTGCCTCTCATCTCCTCATTTGTGGCACCTTCGCTTTTCATCCAAAGTGCGGGGTTATTGTGAGTGACAGTGGTGGGATGTAGGGACCCTCCTCACTTGTGGCACCTTCGCTTTTGACCCAATGTGCGGGTTTATTGTGAGTGACAGGGGTGGGAGGATGGGAAGGGTCATCTGTGAGTGACCATGATGGGGGTCATGCTTAAGGGAACCGATGTGCATGATAAGCATTGGGTGTGAGGGATGTCCTCACATGGTGGAGCCTTTGCCACTGGAAGAGGTAGGAAAGGGTGGGGAGGGAGGTTGTCTGTAGAAGTTAAGTTATACAAAGTCTAAAGGGAGATGTAGTGGGACAGTGAAGGAAGTTAGGGATGCTAGCTGAGCTGGGGAGAGGAGAAATCCAGGAGAAACTTCAGAGCTAGTAACTCACGTTTCCCCTGTCCTATGTATGCTCGTCCAGGAGCCTGGGTCCATTTCTTAATCAGCACTTTCCATGCCTGTTTCTTCCTCCCATGGCATGTAACTCTCACCACCTTCTCCCATATTTAACTGCCAACTTCACTGTATGTGGGCTGTGACCCTCTCCTCTCATGGGCTCCTGAGGTCACTGCCCACTAATTAGCATCATCTGGCACCATGCTCTGGTTCGATCTTGCCTTCAAGGTGGCTGCTCTGTCAGCCATGTTTTCTTCCAGGTCCTGTTCATTGCCACTGAAGCCCTGGCATTTCCACCCTCACACCCTGGCAGGCTTGGGACATATTTACCCTTAGTCACATCTAGGCTGGTCCTGGCAACAAAAGTCCCTGGGACTGTGATATCTCAGGAAGGGTCTTGATGTTTTTGAATCCTCATCTTTTACCATCAGTTATCCAGTAGTCAATCATTGGTCCTCTGGTAGCACACCTTTGTGACAAGGCCCGAGGATGAGTTGAAAGAATCAAAAATCCTT